TATATATATATTTTTTAATTTTCTCTGTACCACATTGGTCTGTATTAAATGAATAGTGTGAGAGTCTGTTATAAGAGTAATAATTTTTTTTTATTTTGCTTCAGGGCTTACTATATATGTAATTGATCGTTGATCTTTTAATCTTCTTTGTATGTTGCAGTGGATGCTGTACTAAGTGGAAGACTAAGAGTCATAGTGATGTAAGTTAATCTATTGCTAAGTTTCATGAAATAATATTGTTTTGAATCATGAAACATTCCAGCAAAGATTACATTAATATGAAATCACATTGAAACTAGAACAAGATTTACATTTAAGAGTAAAATATGTAGTTGAATTTTTCGTCACTTACACCACTATGATAACATCATTCTTTCACTTAGTTTTATTAAAGCATAGTACGTGATAATTATATGTTTACAGGAATACCAGATGAAGGAGGTTTAAGACCTTTATGTTGGAAACTTTTATTAAATTATCTACCTTCAACACGAGCCAGTTGGTCAGAAACCCTTACTCGTAAAAGAACGCTTTATAAAACTTTTATTGGTACAGTATGATTTTTGTGTTTAATTTGTAAAAACATATAATAAGTCCGGTTTTATAAATTTTCTGATTTCTATGTTTTGCAGAGGATCTCATTGTCACACCGGGTGAAGCAAATAGTGATGGAGAAAGAGTAGATGTTACACTTCATGATCATCCACTAAATTTAAATCCTGATAGCAAGTGGCAAACCTACTTCAAGGATAACGAAGTTCTTCTACAAATAGACAAGGATGTTAGGTAAATTTTCAATGTGCTGCAAAAATTCCATACATTCTAAAATATATGATGAATTATATGCTGCAAAAATTCCATACATTCTAAAATATATGATGAATTATGTTTGTAGGAGATTGTGTCCAGATATATCATTCTTCCAACAAGGTACAGATTATCCACGTAAAGAGATTGTAAATGCAAGTGGACAAAGGCGTTTACACCATAGAGTACAGCACACAGTTTTAAGGAGCGCAAATGTAGAGAGGAAGGGACTTGGTGTCACTAAGGTATTTATATTTAATAATACTGTAAATAAGAAATTATACTAATGCCGATTCTCGTATTCTTATTGCGGATGGAAAGCAGCAGGTAACACCGTTTAACTACTTCGGCTTGTTATCTTAAATTGGTGTCATGAAAAAACTTTTGTCATTATAGATAGCGGTATCTGTTAGAAAAGCTACAGAAGATTATGCACCACTAGCTGAAGGTGGCGAAGCTCATTGGGAAGTTTTAGAAAGAATACTTTTCCTGTATGCAAAATTAAACCCAGGACAAGGATATGTGCAGGGCATGAATGAAATTGTTGGTCCTATATATCATGCATTTGCTTGTGATCCTGATCAAACGTGGAGAGGTAATCATTGAAAAATGCATTTTCAAAATTAATTATATCAATGTAATATTTTTTATAGAGCATGCAGAAGCAGATACATTTTTTTGCTTCACTAATTTGATGAGCGAAATTCGCGACTTCTTTATCAAATCATTGGACGAAGCTGAGTTTGGGATAAACTCGATGATGAGTAAACTTACAACTCAAGTGAAGGTTAATGATCCCGAAGTTTGGATGCGTTTACATCAACAAGAATTATGTCCACAATATTACAGTTTCAGGTAAGCTAACATGAATTTTCTTTTTATAAAGAATATTATTTTTATAGATTATTTTAAATTTTTCTGCAGATGGCTAACGCTTCTTCTCTCACAAGAATTTCCATTACCCGATGTTATGAGAATTTGGGATTCTCTTTTTGCTGACGAAAACAGATTCAGTTTCTTGATACATATTTGCTGTGCCATGATCTTGTAAATATTTCTTATAATAAATTTTTATTTCAAATATAAATGTAAATTAAGCACGTGAAACTTTCTAGGCTCTTGAGGGACCAATTACTTGCCGGAGATTTTGCTACAAACGTTAAACTTTTACAAGTAAATGATATTTTCTATGTTTGAACGATTTTTTAAAATGCTATTGAATTTAATACAGTAATATTCATTCTGATTTTATTTTAGAATTTTCCTTCAGTGGACATTCAGATAGTACTTTCTAAGGCAGCTGCTTTGGCAGGCAAGAGTCTCAATTCACCATAACATATAATTGTACAGCTTCATACAGAACTGAAAGTATAGACGAAACGTCTGGAATGGAGTGCTTAAACATCTTTTAAAGGTATATTCCTACGGCTATTATTTCCATTTATTTTTTTCTAATTTCTTTCATTTGCTTGTCTCTACAATGCAAATTATGATCTTACACATAGGCCTGAGCATTCTTACGCGAACAACTTATCAGAACTAGAAAAAAATCGTTCGCATTATATATATATACACATATATTGTAAGCGTCGTATGCGTGTGAAAATCGTTGAAAAGTAAAATAATTTTAAACAACGTTTTATACTCCCAGATATAAAAGTTTTTCCATTTATACGTAGAAGCTCGGGTTTCATAGGATCTGAATTTAGCTCTCTGT